ATTCGCAATTTGAAGAAAATCCGTCAATCCTTTACTGTGTTCTTACCTAGTAAAATAAATATAGAATAAATGAAATCTATTTTCTCCAGCGAGAACAACTCATTAAGAAAGTTATTAAATTAAGAACGTTTTTAAAAAATGCATTCAAAACTATGTAAAATAAAACAAAACACTTCTATTAAACAAAGGAAATACATAATGTGAAACGTTCTGATTAGAATATACATTTATAAAATAGTATGAATAATGCAACAACTATGCTGTTGCTGTATTATATAGAAAAAATAGAACATATAATATTAAAGAATAATTAAAAAGTAATAATTTTACAGGTATTTTACCATAGCTTAACTTTAATTTTAAAATACTTCTTTAATTCAAACGATGACTATTTTCTTTTAAGCCTTATTTATTTATATGTCCTTTCTAATAAATTTGAAAATTGGCCGAGTCTCCATCTCTCGACATAGTTCACTTTATAGTGACTCCCCCCCCCGCATTTAGTTTTATAAATGTATATTAATTGTAGGTATATTAAAAAGTAAGCCACCAAAAAGCCAATCATTTTGTTAAACATTTTTTTCATATTGACCTATTTTTTCAACCATACTTTTTGGGTATTTTGATATTATAGGTATTATAGTTATAATACTTAAATATAATTAAGTCATCTGAGCCAAAAGTTTTGAATGCCAGCTACGATTAGCGATGCAAGTATGATTTTAAAAAATCACGTTAAATGTAAATCCGATGTACTCAATTAAATAAACCGTTTTCGCCTAAAAGTTTGGTTTAAAAACAAATAATAAAAAAGTTGTTTTTTTTTTTTTAAATAATATTTTAGTGGAGGATTTCACTTAATGTGTGACACAGATTTAGTCATGAAAACCAAATATTGGATACAAGAATATAAGAATTTTTTTCGACTTAAAGGTCTGTTTCTTGTTTTTGACGTAGGTTTGGTTCAAAAACAAATAATACAAAATATGGTGTTGATTTTTCATAAAAAAATAATATTTTTGTGTTGGATTTCACTATAAACCCATAAGTACTACATCGTTTATTGTATTTCTTAAACATTCTGAAGCCGAAGTTGACTTATAAAACAACTTACCGTAACGTTTCAGTGTTAAAATAAAATAAATATATTATTTTCTGTAAGCTACAGTGGTTTTTAAGTATGTCAGTTAAACGAAATTTTACCAGAATGTTACCAGCACTATTGTTTCTCGTTTTGACAATAGTTACAGGTAATATAATAAATTAATAAATATTTTTAAAAATACATTTTTGTGAATGATATAGTTAAAAACATATATTTTTGGATATGCATATTGTTTAGTACCGTGTGTTTTTATTTTATTGATTTTTTTTTGGTTGGTACGGTAAAATTAAGTTTTTGTTTTTTTTTGTATTTTAGTCCTAAACGCAAGACCCGGAGGTAAGTATTATAAGTACATTAATTGATGAGTGGCGGATGCTAGGGTGGCTTAATTTTTACAATGGATAAAGTAAAACTTTATCTACGGGGTAGCGTTTTAAGTTTTTTAATAACATAAGTACCATAAAAAATATTGGTCTAAATTTAGTTTACCGGGCTTCCTTTATTAATTTGTTTATAAAAAAAAAATTAAGTTTAGATATCAGAAAAATTAAAATGTTACCCCGTGGATAAAGTTTATTTTTCTATACATTGTGTAAATTTACTGTTAATATTGGACTAACATACTTGAAAAAATTGTATTTTGTCCAATTGAAATTACTGTGATAGTCTGACAAAAATATTTTACATATTTCTACATTAAATATTGACCTGACGCTCGCTAAGACCAAACAAATTCGTTAATATTTTAGACTAAAAAATATGTTCAATTATAAAAAAAATGTTTTTAAAAAAAATGATTTGTATGCAGGTCCTTCTGAAACCCATAACGGTATGTATAATTATTTGCTTTTTTTAATTTTTTCATTTATTATTACTAGGTAATTGTAGATTTTAAAATAATTTTATATAAATAAAAATATCGCATACTAAAAATTTTTTAAATTTTAACTAGTTGTCCATTTTATTTAGTAGTTAGAATTATATTATATTTACGATTTTGAGAAATTTTGTACTTTTTCAAAACTCTGTATCTCAGTACCTATGCGGTCAAAAAGAAGTTTTGTACTTGAAAATTTTAGGAAATTTAGTCTTCTACATTTACTAATTCAATGTTATCAGCTAAATTTACCGTTTTTTAAATATATGGAAAAAACAAAAAAAAATTTGGGATTTTCCCCCCTCCCCAAAATTCTACACGGTTTTTTTGTTGGATAATTTCGGTGAAGCACTACTGGACAACCATAAACTACTTCCCGAAGTTTCATTAAAGTCGGGAGTTTTCAAAGGTATTAAGTACTTGTCGACTGGACTAGTAGTGTAATCCGAAAACTAATATTGGTCGATAAAAAGTTTTGAAATTATAATTTGGTGATTTATAATGTATAAATCTGTTGGCAACAGAAGAGGCGCACTTATTCATTACCAATTTTTTTTATTTAAGAGTTCCTTATGACAAAAAAAGCTGGTCAGATAAATTCTAATAGTTTGACTAATAGTTTTGATTATCTTATTTATTTTGTATTTGATATTGTTTGTTTGTGCATTTATTTTATTGTATGGTCCATTTGGCTTATAATAACTTTATTCATTTTCAGACCCCCCGCCAGCAACACAGACACAGGAACCAGGTATGTTTAAGTTATACAAAACAATAAATCATAAGTTAAATAATGTTTTTATTATTTTAATAATAAGATTCTAACAAATTGCACTATATTACACTGTCTACATACGTGGCCAAAAGTAATTTTTATTCAAGCAGTGTAATCCGGAAACTAAGAATGGTCGATAAGAAGTTTTGATATTTTATTTTGGGGATTTTTAAAGTAGAAATCTGTTGGCAAGAGAAGGGGTGCACTTTTTCAATACCAATTTTTTTATTTAAGAGTTCCTTATGACAAAAAAAGCTGGTCCGATAAATTTTAATAGCTTGACTAAAAGTTTTGATTATCTTATATTTTGTATTTGATATTGTTTATTTGTACATTTGTTTTATTGTATGGTCCATTTGGCTTATAATAACTTTATTCGTTTTCAGTAACTTCGCCAGCAACACAGACACAGGAGCCAGGTATGTTTAAGTATACAAAACAATAAGCAATAAGTTAAATAATATTTTTATTATTTTAACAATAAAATTCTAACAAATTGCACTATATTATACTGTCTAAATACGTGGTCAAAAGTAATTTTTATTCAAGCAGTGTAATCCGGAAACTAACTATAAGATTGGTCGATAAGAATTTTCGATATTTTATTTTGGTGATTTTTAAAATATAAATCTGTAGGTACTCGCATAGTAAATAGTGTATGTTCACATAATAGTCATGATGCGAAATGTGTTATCAATATGTTTACTCCCAAAACGATATCAGAATTGTATTAGTTGCACCAACTAGTAAATAAAAAAAAAAACTATAATCCCATATTATTTTTTCAATAAATAATTAAATAATTGACAAATACAATTTAAATGTCAACTACATTTTTCCGCTAAATAGTACGTTATGCAAATAATTTAATTAGTATAGCTGTAGATTAACATGTGAAATAAATCGTTTTGCTTCAATCTGTAAATAGTACGTTCTGCATAAATTCTAGAAAATAGTACATTTTGCTTCATTTATTATTTGTTTTACACTAATTATCATGGGAAATAGTGCGTTTTGATGCGATTTGCAAATAGTTCTTTTCGTCATGATTTTGTCGATGGAAATATAGCATTTTGCAAAAATTACGAAACTTTAACATAAGAAATAGTACGTTTTAGCACAATCTGACAACTTCATTCGAATCCCCGTCTTTTTTACTTTAAGAACTGACGTATAAGTCAATTTCGATAATTTTTGGCGATAGCACGTTTTGCATTGTAGCCCCTTAATTGGTGTGAACCTAGTTTACCGTGTTTACTCTTTTAATTTTTTTATAAAAAATATTAAGTATAGATATCGGAAACCATGTTAGATCTGCTGGAATTATCATACACCAAAACAAAAATTTTTCACATATTTCTACATTAAATATTGGCCTAACGCTCGCTAAGACCAAACAAATCCGTTAATATTTTTCAATTATACTAAAAAATATGTTCAAATATAAAAAAAATTAATTTAATGAGGTACCTATTCCATATGTATATTATACTTATTTTATAAAAAAAATTGTTTGTATTCAGGTCCTTCTGAAACCCATAACGGTATGTATAATTATTTGATTTTTTTAGTAATTATTAGTAGGTGCTTGTAGATTTTACAATAATTTTATATAAATAAAAATAACGCATACTAAAAGCAATTTTTATAATTTAATTAGTTGTCCATTTTATTCAGTAGTTTTGAAATTTTATTTTCGGCGATTTTTAAAGTAGAAATCTGTTGGCAAGAGAAGAGGCGCACTTATTCAATACCAATTTTTTTTATTTTAAAGTTACTTAAGCTAAAAAAAGTTGGTCCGATAAATTCTAATAGTTTGACTAATAGTTTTTATTTTGTTTTTGATATTGTTTATTTGTAAATTTTGTTGGATATTGAGGTGTGTATGTACGTGGATCAAGACAAAAATAAGAATTAAACACAAGTTCTATAGTAATCATAAAACACTAATACTGAATACAATATAAAGTAATAATAAAGACTTGTTATACTATGTAAAAAAATGAGTGAATAAGATCTCCCTTTCATATAAGACCAAAAGAATATTCTAGAACAAAAAAACTGCATACAAAGCAATAATACTATTGACGTCAATTAACACGCGAATTACTTTAAACACCTTTGATTAGTTAATATGAAAATCACGTCATAATATTTTGCTTATTAAGTAAACAAGTTAATCTAAAATAATATTAATGATAACTTATATTCTAAGAAGAATATAATATGAATTATTTATTGACTATTTCAACACATTCATTTTATTTTATGGTCCTTTGGCTTATAACAACTTTATGCATTTTCAGTAACCCCGTCAGCAACAGCGATACAACAGGAATCAAGTATGTTTAAGTTTACAAAACAATAAGCAATAAGTTAAATAATATTTTTATTATTTTAATAGTAATATTCTAACAAATTGCACTATATCTTATTTATTTTGTACTTGATATTGTTTATTTGTACATTTGTTTTATTGTATGGTCCATTTGGATTATAATAACTTTATTTATTTTCAGTAACCCCGCCAGCACCACAGACACGGCAATCAAGTATGTTTAAGTTTACAAAACAATAATAAATATGTTAAATAATATTTTTATTATTTTAATAATAAGATTCTAACAAATATGAACTATATTTTACTGTCTACATAAGTGGCCAAAAGTAATTTTTATTTAGGCAGTGTAATCTAGAAACTAAGAATGGTCGGTAAAAAGTTTTGAAATTTTATTTTGGCGATTTTTAAAGTATAAACCTGTTGGCAAGAAAAAAGGCGCACTTATTTAATACCAATTTTTTTTAATTAAGAAATTCTTATAGCAAAAAAAGCTGGTCCCATAAATTCTAATAGCTTGACTAATAGTTTTGATTATCTTATTTATTTTGTACTTGATATTGTTTATTTGTACATTTGTTTTATTGTATGGTCCATTTGGGTTATAATAACTTTATTTATTTTCAGGAACCCCGCCAGCACCACAGACACGGCAATCGAGTATGTTTAAGCTTACAAAACAATAAGCAACAAGTTAAATAATATTTTTATTATTTTAATAATAATATTCTAACAAATTGCACTATATCTTATTTATTTTGTACTTGATATTGTTTATTTGTACATTTGTTTTATTGTATGGTCCATTTGGATTATAATAACTTCATTTATTTTCAGTAACCCCGCCAGCACCACAGACACGGCAATCAAGTATGTTTAAGTTTACAAAACAATAATAAATATGTTAAATAATATTTTTATTATTTTAATAATAAGATTCTAACAAATATGAACTATATTTTACTGTCTACATAAGTGGCCAAAAGTAATTTTTATTTAAGCAGTGTAATCCGGAAACTAAGAATGGTCGATAAGAAGTTTTGATATTTTACTTTGGTGATTTTTAAAATATAAATCTGTAGGCTAGAAAGAGAGGCACCTATGCAATACTAATTTGATTGATGTGAATTACTAAGGCACAATTAATTTTTACACAATTACAGTAATAAGTCACTCGAAAAATTACCATACTTATTTTGTATTTAATATTTTTTTTTTAGTTTAATTGTACACATGTTTTGTTGTATGGTCTATTTGACTTACCCCCGTTTGTTTGTGTACGTTTACAAAATAATAAATCAAAATTCACACAATATTCGTATTTTTTTGTAATAATAATATTGCATATATTATATTATATGTATTGTAAGATGTATGTAAGATTCTTAACTTGTTAAATATTAATCTACTATGCTACTTCCTAATTTGATTTGTATTCATTTTGTTCAATAGATTCACTAGATTGTTTAGATAAAGTGACTTTGGGAGTACTCTGTCCTTGCATGACTTGTATATATTGTGTTAGAACAAGAATTATGGGTCGTAGAGAGGATAATCCTTATAAGAACTGTTTTGGTTATGTTAAAGAAGACTAAAAATTAAGTTGGTATATCTTTAAGTTAATAATTAAATAATTAAATTTTATGCTTACATCGTTGTCATCATCGTTGATGATGGCGGAGTAAGCTAACCTAACTATTGAAATATACAGGTTATTTAAAATAAACTGATTGCAACTTTTCTTCTGATAAAGAAATCTAAACAATTTGAGAACGTACATAACCGGATTTAAACTCAAAATATGTCACATATGCCTTTAGAAATAAAGAGACCTGTGTATATTTCTGTTAAATATATAATTTAGCTAAATGAAATTTAATACAAATCTGTATTATATTAAATTTTCAAAATAATTTATACCTTTCTGTTAAATAATTTTTTTTTAAGGAAATGTAGTTTTAAAAAGTAGAATTCTGAAATGCTTAAACAATTTACAATAGTAGTATTTTAACAATAGTGTCATAAAAAAAAAATCAGATTTTTAATTTTATTTTTTTTTTCAGGAAGGATCCAAAAGTGTCATAATAATATACAGTTTCCAACATAATCGTCTGTTAAATTGTGTACAAAATTTTTCAAAACCAAAATTATATATTTTACTAAAACATAATAAACATTTACTATTCGGCCAATTTTAAAACGTCTTTTTTTTGTTAATTACACGGTACACCTATTATTGACTGAAATCAACATATATATTACTTACTCGTGTTTTTGTATATAAACGTTTGACCAACTATATTTCTTGCACGGTAGCATCTTTATGTTTCAATAATTTATATAAATTTTTTTCAAAGATTTCGAATAAGATTATAATTCTTACTTCTATCGATATCCAATAAGTACAAAACCTAAATTATAATTATTTTTATTATATAATTTGGTGCTGTGAATTTTAGCTTTGTATTTTCAAGTTTTTTTTGTTGGTATTTTGAGTACTTTACTATGGTCATGGTTCTACAACGTAAGAAAATAAAAAGCTCAAACATTTAAGTACACAAATAACATAACAAAACACTTAAAAATGTACGCCAACAGTTATGAGTAATTTGTTTACATTTACACAGTCACTGTAAAAAACACTGTATTATGTGTAGTTAAATTAATATGATTATTGATTAACCGTGTAGCTAAATCACTTGACGGGTGAAATAACATATTTTTTATAGCTATTTATAAATAAATGTTAAACACCAAAACTGAATTCGAGATTTTACAATTGTAGTTCTTTATCAACTTATAACCTGTTAAATATAAATTAAAGCCGCTTTTAGGATACATTTTTAAGACATAATCTATGTGCCTAAAACCGATGAGTAATTGCAGTGTCCGAATTTTTATTTTTATTCTAACTACCAAAACGTTATACTTGCAGCTGATATTAGTTGTATATATTTTTTAGTTAAACTATATAAAATTACATATGTAGTTAATTGTAATTATTAATTACAACTAAAATGTTAAGAAGAAATCAGAACAGAAACATAACAAGTATTCGCTATAACCTATGTAAAGTAGAGTTCTACTTAGCATGCTTGTTTGTTAAAACATATAAAGTCCGTCCGTATAGAAAATCCGTCAATCCTTTACTGTGACCTTCCCTTGTAAAATAAATATAGAATAAATGAAATCTATTTTCTCCAGTGAGAACAACTCATTAGGAAGGTTATAAAATTAAGAATGTTTTTTTTATTGCCTCAAACTAGTTTACTATTAAAATCTTTGCCATATAGTTGTACTTCTTTTAAAAAATATTGCAACAACTATTCTGTTGCTGAATTATATAGAAAAAAATGTAGCATATAATATCAAAGAATAAATAAAACGTATTTTACCACCGTTTAAATTTAATTTTAAAATTCTGCTTTGATTAAAAAGATGACTATTTTCTTTTAAGCCTTATTTATCTATATGTCCTTTCCTATAAATTTGGAAATTGACCGAGTCTCCATCTCTCAACATAGTTCACTCTTCAGTCACAACCCCCCCCTGTATTAAGTTTTATAAATGTATATTAATTATAGGTATATTAAAAAGTAAGCAGCCAAAGAGCCAATCTTTTGGTAAACATTTTTTTTTATATTGACCTATTTTTTTCAATTATACTCTTTGGGTACTTTGATAAGGTCTAATTGTATTATAGTTATAATTCTTATATAATTAAGTCATCTGAGCCAAAAGTTTTGAATGCCAGCTACGATTAACGATGCAAGTTTGAATTTAAAAAATTACGTTAAATGTAAATCTGATGTATTCAATTAAGTAAACAGTTTTTGGCTAAGAGTTTGGTTTAAAAACAAATAATAAAAAAGTTGTTGTTTTTTTTTATTTTAATAATATTTTAGTGGAAGTATTTACTGAATGTGTTACACAGATTTAGTCATGGAAACCAAACAGTGGGATACAAGAATATAAGAATTGTTTTCGACTTAAAGGTCTGTTTCTTGTACTCGACGTAGGTTTGGTTCAAAAACAAATAATACAAAATATGCTGTTGATTTTTCATAAATAAATAATATTTTTGTGTTGGATTTTACTGTAAACTTATAAGTACTACACCGTTTATTGTACTTCTTAAACATTCTCAAGCCGAACTTGACTTTTAAAACAACTTACCGTAACGTTTCAGTGTTAACAAAAATTAAAATTTTGTTTTCCGTTAGTTGCAACGGTTTTAAGTATGTCATTTAAAAGCAATATTACCAGAATCTTATTAGTACTATTCTTTCTCGTTTTGACAATAGTTACAAGTAATATAATTGTATATAATATTTTTAAAAATACATTTTTGTGAATGATGTAGATAAAAACATATTTTTAGATATCCATATTGTTTAGTACAGTGTGTATTTATTTTATTGATATTTTTTTGATTGGTAGAGTAAAATTAAGTTTATGTATTTTTTTGTACTTCAGTCCTAAACGCAAGACCCGGAGGTAAGTGTTATTATAAATTTATATTATAATGTTATTGTACATTTGATGAGTGGCGGATGCTAGGGTGGCTTAATGTTTACAATGGATAAAGTAGACATTTATCTACGGGATAGCGTTTTAAGTTGTTTGATAACATAAGTACCATCAAAATTATTGGTATAGATCTAGTTTACCGGGTTTCCTTTTTTAATTTGTTTATACAAAAATATTAAGTATAGATATCGAAAAAATTAAAATGTTACCACTTAAATAAAATTCATTTTTCTATACATTGTGTACTTTACTGTTAATACTGATCTCACATACTTGAAAAAATTGTAATTCAGCCTATAGAAATGACTGTGATAGTCTGACAAAAAAATGGCAATGAACAAAGTATCTTTATTACTTTATAATAAGTATACATTAGTATAGTTTAACTTTTTATTATTATAAATACATTTATTTATTTACATATGTATATTATACTTAATTTTATAAAAAAAATTGTTTGTATGCAGGTCCTAATGAAAACCAAGACGGTACTTAAAATTATTTGCTTTATAACATTTTTTTATTAATTATTATTAGGTGATTGTAGATTTTACATATATAAATAAAAATAACGCATACTAAAACCAATTTTTATATTTTAATTAGTTGTCTATTTTATTCAGTAGTTTTGAAATTTTTTTTTCAGCGATTTTTAAAGTATTAATCTGTTGGCAAGAGAAAAGACGCGCTAATTCAATACCAATTTTTTTTTATTTTAAAGTTCCTTATGATAAAAAAAGCTGGTCCGATAAATTCTAATAGTTTGACTAATAGTTTTTATTATCTTATTTTTTTTGTATTTGATTTTGTATTTTTTGTTTGTACGTTTATTTTGTATTGGATATTGTTTATTTGTACATTTGTTTAATTGTATGGTCCATTTGGATTATAATAACTTTATTCATTTTCAGTAACCCCGCCAGCACCACAGACACGGCAATCAAGTATGTTTAAGTTTACAAAACAATAATAAATATATTAAATAATATTTTTATTATTTTAATAATAAGATTCTAACAAATATGAACTATATTTTACTGTCTACATAAGTGGCCAAAAGTAATTTTTATTTAAGCAGTGGAATCCGGAAACTAAGAATGGTCGATAAGAAGTTTTGATATTTTATTTTGGTGATTTTTAAAATATAAATCTGTAGGCTAGAAAGAGAGGCACCTATTCAATACTAATTTGTTTGATGTGAATTACTATGGCACAATTAGTTATTATACGTGTACAGTACATGTTAGATATTAATCTACTAAGCTTCTTCCTAAATTGATTTGAATTAATTTTGTTCGATAGAAAAGGAACTGGGAAAACACGGAAAAATGTATAACAAGCTTCATGATGCAGGGTTAAAATGTGCAGTTACCGGGATTATGACGTTTCTCTGTCCTTGCATGTGTTGTATATATTGTATTAGAAAAGCGACTGGTCATGACGATGAAAAACTTTTTGGTTATGTCAAGGAAGAAGACTAATTAAGTGGGTATATCTTTAAGTTAATAATTAAATAATTAAATTTTACGTTCAAATTGTCGTTATCATCGTTGATAACTATTAAAATATACAAGTTTTTTTTAAATAAACTGATTCTAAACTGATTTCTGAAATCTAAACAATTTTAGGACGTTCATAAACGGATTTAAACACAAAAAATGTCTCATATGTCTTTAGAAATAAAGAGGCCGGTGTATATTTCTGTTAAATATATGATTTAGCTAAATGAACTTTAGTACAAATCTTTAATATATTACATTTTTCAAAATAATTTTTACCTTTCTGTTGAATAATTTTGTTTAATTAAATGTAGATTTAAAAAGTATAATTCTGACATGCTTAAACAATTTACAATAGTTTTATTTTAACAATTGTGTCATGAAAATAGATTAAGATTATTAATTTTTTTTTATTTCCGGATGGATCCAAAGGTGTAATAATAATATACAGTTTCTCCACAGTTTCCAACATAATTATTTTCTAATTTGTGTATACAATTTTTCAAAACCAAAAATTATATATTTTACTAAAACATAATAAACATTTACTATTCGGCCAATTTTAAAAATCCTTTTTTTTTTTGTTAATTACACCTATCATTGACTGAAAACAACTTATTTATTTACTCGTGTAAGATTACGGTTTTGTGTATTGTTGATACACATGTTGACTGACTATTTTCATGATAAAAGAATCACTCTGCACACAAACTATAAAAATTAATATTTTAAACAATTTCATTTGCCAATCAAAATAGATCATAAAAAAATGAATGCCATGGACTATTTTACGTTTTTTAGAACTTTTTGGTTATGTTGGAGTATATTATTTATGATCGTCAGTGTCTGGAAATATAGATCTAATATATATCTGATTTTTGTTTGATTACTTTTGATTAATTGGGCGTGTGTCCATTAAAATTCCAAAATACCGAACGTCAAAATGATAGAGAAAATACATTATGAGCATTAAACTGTAAATCTTATTTAAATTACATTCGGTATAGTTGATCTTATTTTTTTCAAGCAATATTACTAATCAACATTCTTAGCTTTTACACATCATTTAATTAAAAAAAGACTAGCACATTCTATCGTCCGATTAAAGTTGAAAAAGCTGTTTTTTTAGCTAAAATAAATCTAAAGAAATGTTCTTTGATACGCATAGTGGATTTTGACATACTATTGTGGATGGTGGCATTGAATATCTAGCCTTTAGTAGATTTTCCGGATGCGGAGGCTAAAGTAAGGGGAGGTATACGATTTCATTCTATGCGTCTCGAAAAAAAGACTTTATGACCTTTATGATACAAGTGATAACATATCTACTTGTAGATCAGTGTAAGGATACGATAATCCTTAGTCTTAACCATCATTCTTAGGTCCAAGAAAAGGGCTCTGGCTTCAACTGTTAGAGTGATAATAACGATTAAAGAAATCAAGAAGGTTTAGTACACATCCATTATCCCAATGTCCTATCTCTCTTCTTTTAATTCAAAATGTGTATTATTAGTTATTACATATACATGCGTAGATGCAATTTATCCACATTCCAGCTGCCATTTATAAGCTATTTATAAAATATAAATGTAAATAAAAAGGCCATTAAGAAAATAACTATGGACTTACCTTGTACTTTTGTTTTTTCTAGGTCTGTAGGTCTTTTTCTGAAACGTCGAACAAAACAACCCAAAATCTAAACAAAAAAAAGTTGAAATAAACTTAATTTTTATGGTTGCTTGACTTTATTAGCTCATACTATAGTTGAGTGTAGTTTTTAAAAGTTTGGTAATCTAATTTAAAATTTTTCATTAGATGTACTACATTAAAAAGTTTAATATTTAAAAATAAACAACATTATTTAAAATAATTTGTACTACCTTCACAAAGATCACATTCTGAAAAATAAACCTTTATATGTAATAACAATGTGTGTTAGAAAAATATTATTATTATTATAAAAACGATTATAGTGTCAATTTGTATTTATTATTTTATAAACTAAACATACCGACGGCTGCTAAATGGACCACACAATAATTGAAATGTACAAATAAACAATATTAAATATAAAATAAATGTGGCAATGAAAACGATTTGTTAAAATATAAGGGTTTAAACAAATTAATCTAAGTCGGACCAGCTCTTTTCATAAAGACCCTCTCTATTAAGTTTTACATTATGTAATTAAATAGATGATTTACTCTTAGCCCTTAACATGATTGCCAAAATAAAATATCAAAACTTGTTATCGACCAGTTTTCGGATTAAACTACTGTATACAATAGTTATAAAAAAAATTCAAAAGGAAATATAATTATACAACGTACATACTGTTTTGGTTTTCAACAGGACCTGCATACAAATATTTTTATTTTAAATAATTAAGTAGAATAAACATAGAGAATAGGTAGCTCATTAAACTTATTTCATATATCAGCTGTTAATGCATCGTTAACTTTTACTTAATGAAATAATAAAGTTCATTTTCACTTCTAACTCTGCTGGCTTACACTGTGCTTGGTTTGTTTCTGTACTGGCTTGAAAAGACTAACTATTGATTTGCAACGAAGCGTTTTTTCGAAAGTGATTTTATCACACTCAGATTCAAAAATTCCTGTGAAGCTGTGACCTCACCGTCCCCACTACGCCCCGTCCCCAATGTACTGTTTTTTTTTTGGTACGATTTTAAGCACAAAAAAAAAATAAGATAAGTATTAATAGAATATTTTTTTTTCAAGTAGGTAAATCAAATGTTTTTTCTCGATTAACTGAATATGGATTTTAATTTATCATTTGCACTTATGGACTTGTTAACAGTTTGGAATACACATATTACTTTTTTTGCAATTCATTTTTTGTAATGTTTTCAGTAATTAAAAAACTAATGCTACGTTTGACTGTACTCAGGACCTACTAATACTCACTCAAGTCCGCCAATGAGTGTAAATCTTAATTTTTTTACTAACCTCAAGTCTCAACAACAAGAATTGGTCATGTTCAGAGACGTTTACAGAAGTTTAACACCAAAAAAAAGAGCATTTGTTTGCACAAGCTTATTTGTTGAATTTTCGAGGAAAGGGTTGAGGGCTTTTTTCTGTTTGTACCAAATTCTAAATTCTGTTCAGCTCGGTTCAGGCACAAATATGATATACTATCTAGTGTGTGCCTAGTAGTCTTCTAAAATGCAGTCTTCGGTTGGTGTGTAAAGTGTTTACCTTGCAGATTACACATTATTGGCCTGAAATGAACGTTTAACGGTAAAACCAAATGTTTTCTCAATAAATAATAATATATACACACTATCCTATCATTGTACGTTTTGCCTCAGCAATTACAGTTAACAATTATGCTTTGATACACAAGTCAGTCAACTAATTGCTGATGAAGGGTTAGTTCGGAATCGATATGGGGTATAAGAAATTGTACGAAATTAAAAAAGAAAAACAATCCCTTGCATCAGACTAACCACCTGAAAACCCACATGTCAAACAAAGGTAAAACTATAATCATATCCTTTGGGTTCTCCTAAGACATAACGGGATGGTTTACTTTTGACTGGCTAAACATTCATTTTGGACCGCTGTACAGACAATTGTGATGGAATTATATTTAAAAAAAAACAAAACAATGTGTTTTCTAAAATACGCATAAATATATACATATATATAAGTGAACGTGTATATATATATGTATAAATATACATAAATAAATTTGAATACAACGAATTTAAATCACTAATAAAATACATATTACAAAGATATGCGATTTATAGTCGGCAGCGGCGGCGGAAATGCTTCTAACAAAATACAATTTTTTAATATTGATAATAATAATAATAATAGGTAATTATAAAAGCGTTCGTACAATACACATACTTTGTTTAGAGAAAAAAAATCAAACGAATAATTATTATAATAATATAACACCAACAACAGTAGTAAATAATAATAATAATATCAACAACAACGACCATATTACTATTCGCAGATATTATTAATATTATTATTATTTCTGTTTTTTTTTTTAAATAGACAAACGTAATTACAATATATTATAATAGTAAAATAGTAATGATGATAATTTATAATTAATGTTTTATCATTTATCGATTATTAAATTCATCGCGATACAATGTTTTAAGTTTCTGTGTAACTGGTGTGTGTGTGTTGTGTGTGAAATTGTATACTTGTGAATGTAGCAAAATATACCTAAACCGACTTTCTAAAACGTTTAATTTGCTGATATTAAATTAATAACACAATATATCACTAATAATAATAGTAATGAGAAGAGCAAAAAAAAAAAAGAGAGATAAATACAATAAAAATATTACTATGTAATTAACCTACTAAAAGTAAAATAAAAGTAAAGTGAATTTTTTTTTTAATATAATATATAATATAAATATAATAATAATAATAATATTAAACTACGATTAAAATATAGACGAATAATATGATAATTAATAATAATAATAAATATAGGTATAATCTTAATTTAACTAAAAAAAAAAAAAACCAAGCCTACAAGTAATATTTTGTTATAATAAAAATATATAAGACCGAAATCCGAAACGAATGCAAATGTAGGTTTAATTAAAAACAAATTGTTATAATGTTTTCACATTTTAGAAAATTAAAGTATAGGTGTAATATTTTTTTGGGGGTTTTTAAATAATTTTCATCAGCTATTTCGTTTGGGCTTGTTGTAAAAGCCAAAACGGATATGACGATTCTATAATAATATTATTACTTAGGAACTCGGGCGGGAATTTTTTTTAAATTTTTTGGTATTTTATCAAAGCGTTTTGGTAACTATCAATATAATATTAAGATAAAAACTATTATTACAGTTAAGAAAAAAACAAATAAATCGAAAAAGATTTAATTTTAGATTATTTTAATATTATTACTATTAAATTACACAATAGTTATAATCATAATATTATTGCGACAGCCGGCTGCAAGGAGTAATGACAATCATAGTTTAATCGAAAAACAAATTAAAAAAAATTCTACAATAATGATCCGAAATAATAACATGATATATTATATTATTAAAATATTAGGCCGTACCTATTATATATTATAATGATAATTAAAGCACAATATCATAAAGAGAACCGAATGCGCTTGGCGAAGACCGTCGTATGCCATTGTCGTTTAAAAAGCAAAAGAAAATAATTGAAAAATGTTACTTTTTTTTTATTTGAAAACTAAAAAACCATTTATAATAACAATAATAATGCTAATAATGTAAAACGATCCCCGTGTGACCTGTCCGCCTTCACTCGGTGTTGTCGCAGACTATATGATAACAGATAGGTCATGACTGAAAATGAAATTAGTGTGACCACAGATTCCTGGCTAAAATTTCATTAAAATAATAATATCACAGATTGGATAAAAATAAATTATCTAAACTGTGATAGGTGATAATATAGTTGGTTATCTTTTAAACCGTACGATTGACAAGGTGTTTTTGATACCATAACGTTGTAAAGTACCAGCACGATAATTTGTGTACACCAGTTCATGTGGCTGCACTGATTTCGTCGCGACTGATTATGGAGTGAGCTATCTGTTTTCATACAGTCGGTGGTGTTGTAAGTTTTCTTTTCGAATTATTTTTGATTACAATACATTGTATTTTTGATTAAATATTTTTACTCTTGAGACATACATAAAGTAATATTATTTGTATTGTTAATTACCCTGCTTGCTACCAATCGTTACGATATTATTGTTTTTTTTTTTTATGAAAATTGGCCGCAATTGTTATTTTATTTCATTTAAAATATTCTAACGGTTTTTTTTTATATTTTAAATTATGATTATTATCGTTTTTGTTGTGCGCGTTTCGAAATGTGTTCTCGTATATTGTTTTTTGACATTTTTACATATAAATAAAATATATATTTTGAGTTTTGTATTATATAATTATTCTGGTTATTACTCTGGTGACGACGACGACGGTAACACTGTGATATTGCTGTGTATTGAATTGTTTTGGAGGCTGGGGAGGAAATGATGGTGGATAAGGGGTTAAGGTAAATGACTAGTGCGAAAGGGTAAAGGGTTAGAGAGAGAGAGAGAAGCCAAAGTAGCTGTACGCTAACTGGTAGTAATTAAAAAAAAAAAGACAATCTATCACTTCGAACTTTATGAATTAAAAAAAATTAGGTAGTTTTTTTTTAAGAATTAAAATAGGACCAGGAGCAAGACGCTGTCGAGCCCTCTGTCCCCCCCCCCCTTTTGTCGCCGGGTGGGTTTTATTTTTGTAAAATTAATTATAACATAGTGGGTATCGATGATAATAATAATAATAATATTCGTTAGAGGGATTGCTTTGGAGGAAAGTTGGGAATTTTGCACAACGACGAAAGAGCAACGATAGGCGGCGATGATATAACGTTTGTTGTATTGTCTTATTGCTTGACGTCGTCGCTTTTCCGGGCCTTGTGACCGCGGAACGAAGCCTGGATCTTGGTGGCCGCCTTGTGCAATTCGGGATCAGCCAAGTCCACGTCCAACAGTTCTTGATCCATCAATTCCTGTGGATCATAAAGACAAAAAATTAGTTCCGCCGGAACGGTAGTGAGGTCAGCAATGTTATGTGGGTCAGAATGTTGGCAGTTGACAAAAAAATTAAACAGAAGATGAGTGTAGTTGAGATGAAAATACTAAGGCGGACGAGTGAAGTGACTGGGACGGATAGAATAAGAAATTAATACACAAGGGGAATCTAGGAATTGCATCAACTATGGAGAAAATGAAAGAGAATAGGTTGAGCTAGTTTGGTCTTGTTATAAGCAGGGAAGAGGCAGAGGCAGTGAGAGTTGTTATGAAGATGAATGTAGAAGGAAAGAGAGAAAGGGGAAGAGTGACACGAGGATAACTGGGGCGATTGAACGAGATGTAGAAGATCGAGCTTTATGGAAGTGTAGGACTAGGGCGGCCGAAGCCATGTAGTTGGGAGTAAAAGGCAAATATCAAGAAGAAGAGGCAATGCCAGGAATTTCTTGGAGTGTGCAAAATGTCTACAAAAAAGCACAAGTTATTTGGCTGAGAGTAATATAAAATGCGTCATCGAGGAGAAGATGGTGAAAAGATATGAATGGGATAGTGATAAGGCGTGAACGATGCGTGGATAGGAATTGGTTGGGAGTTAGGTTTAAAGAGGTTGGGGAGAGACGGTGAAAGGAAAAAGATTCTTTTAAAAATAAGTAAGGTTTTTTCTAAATTAATTTGTTTTTGAAATCGTATATTTTGAATGGGTAAACTTTTTATGCTAACGAACTGTACGTTTTTTTTTGCTTGTAAATAGCTATCATATTTAAAACCGCAAAAAAAACAAAAATATGTAAATTAACACTAAGTTTAGATGGCACTAAGCCAGGAAAACTTTATAATAAAAGAATGGATAAACATTTATGTACTCATGTATATTCTAAAGTGCATTGCAAAAGGGTTCAGAAAAGTCTGTTAGGACTTTAGATTTTTTTTAAATTTTTGATAGCCTAATTAAATTTAACTCAACTACATAGTGTTATTTATTTTAAAAAGGTATTTTTTACTTGGCGTTGATTCGAAAAAATATTGCTCATCCCTCGTATTGTATACCCCAAAAAACTAACTAGGTCAGACTTTTTTTTTAAAAAAAGAAAGAAAGCTTCGGCTATCTCTAACCGGACCCTACTCTCAGACAAGCAATCAGAAAAGGTGTCCCAGGCCGTATCCTTATCTGTAGGGTAGGTATGGTTATCAATTCTGACCGTACATGGGTCCAGACGTCTTACCGTAGTGCCAAGTCTGGCGTAAAATTTACATGTATAGCCTGTCCAATCCAAAATAATATTACAGACAAATAAAAACTGAGGTGTCACACACGATCCGTATAAAACACAAGACGTGAGATAAATGTGTAACAAATCAACCATTTTTTTTTTTTTTAGGATAATGCATTTAAATAAAACAACTGGAATTTGTCCAACAATGTAGCTTTCCGAAAGTACACACTTTGGACTTGCTGCCCTGAAATAGTGGGCTGGAACCCTTTTGATCCTTGTATGATTTTCGTTTAGTTTTATTTTAATTTCCTCCAAAATTTTGGCCATTGAATTAACACGAATAAAAAAAGTTTAATTGCACAATTTTGGATTTCCTAGTGCATTTTTATAAGATAAGGACAAAAACGTACTCGCATCATATTGTATACCAAGTAATAGGTAATGTATTCAAATTTAAAAATAATTTAAAATAAAAACAAAAACCCCAAAATCTATTACGACAAGTATATGGCCAAGTTAATGATTTAAATTAACTTTTTATAAACAGCTGCCATCGACGAAGTTGCTTTGTTAAATTACATTTTCCAGTGAATCATATTAAATGCCAACTTAATCAATTTTGTAAATAATTGTAACAATAATTGAATTAACTATATAGCGAACGAATTATAGGTATTATTTTTGAGGATAGTCGACTCGTGAGTCGATAAATGTCGATATTTAATTGAAAAATATACTCAATGGCTTTTTGGATGTGGAATGACACGTCAAGAAAACAAATAGGAGTGTTTGTTATTTTTAAATCGATAACGCCCAAAATGTTAGGGCTTCGCTGTTGAAAAATTAAAAGCTTTGGACAAAAGAGGATATTGCGTGTGCTGTCAAAAACACCCGCATATTATACATCATGTCTGGTCGTGTAATTCATTTTTGAACAAGGCTCGAGTGCGTTACGCCCATCTTATCCCCATTGGCGGGCTTTCAACTATTTTATTTTTTTTGTTCTATCAACGAAATGCCTTTTGTGTTTTCTGTACTAACGAGCAGTTATTTCGCTGGACATTAATAATGTATAATATGTATTTATGCAATGACGTAAAACCTTATTGATGTCGACGTTCTTTAGCTGCGATTCCAGACCGTCAACCGCAGAACCGGCACCTCCGGCAGCACCAGGTTCGTCTTTGCCGCCGGCAGCTTGTTGTTTGCGAGTCATGTGGCCGCGAAACGATGCCTGTATTTTCGTTGCAGCGTGGCACAGTTCTACAACCGAATTAAAATATTCACATTACAACATAATAATAATAATAATATTTCACTCCGTTCAGGAGTGTTGCAGATTTGGAAAAGGCAAGGTAAGACAAGGTGACGAAAGAGGTCATGGTAGAAAACGAAACAGGATGATGAGATCAATCCAGGATCATCGACGATCAGCAGGTTTCAAAAAAAGATTGGGAACACTCGTTATGCTAGGAGTGTGAGTAACGAATGGAGTAGGGGAATATAAGTACTTAGAATCAGGATCAGGATGCATTCAGAACATTGGAAGTAGATAGATTGCTCGAGAAAATTTTGGCGGGATAAAGTATCCGAAATTGAAGGAATGCTGCTAATATAATGGATACCACTGAGTCAAAGGTCACTAAGGTCTGTAGTGCTTTGGAGAAAATGCAAAAGTCAAAGAGATTATTAAGTATGGTCAAATGAAGAGGAAAGAAGATACAAAAGTTATGTGACAAAAAGCACGCCGTTTAAGTTAATAGGAGATGAAAAAAACAAGTGTCATTTTGTATTTAAGTAAAGGAGACTAGAGAAAATTTACATAACTCAAACGAGAATATTGAGATGAATGAAGAACTAGGAAGTTTGTGAATTGTACCAATACAAGAAATAATAACAGCGGATAGACTGAGAAGGTTTCAAGATGGGAGATACCTTTAATAGTAAAACGGTTAAGACGGATAAAGAGGATTAGGCTGACAGAATCAATTCGTTCGAGATAAAATGGAAAACTATAATAAATTCCACTCTTTCATAAAACATTTTTTTTTTGGCACCCAAGTCCTTGAGTGTTCCAGGCTTTTAAATATTGTAATTCCGGACCTCAAAACCATTGTGTCTTTGATTAGAAGAAGAATTTTCATTATGTCGATTCCTCGTTGGTGGACCTCATTTTTCGAATCGTGTCTTGTTTTAAAATTGAACGTAACAATATAAAATAAAAAAACCTTCACTTCGAGCAGAAAATAATAGTAATGCGCATTTGATTTATTGGAGACTTTGCTGTTTGTTTTTTGATATCTGAAGGTCATATAATAATCGTGTCGATGCAAAATTAAACGAGAAACATAAAATTGTCTTATTGGTTTTTTTTAATGGAGTTTTATGTCATCCTATGCAATATATAGTTTGAATTTATTGAGTACGTGGCTTTTTCAAATTAAGTCAATTTGAAATAAGTTTTAGCAGAATAAAATAAAACAACGAGTCCTTAAAAATAAATTTCATATTTCAGAAATTTCGTTTGTTTAATGTGTTTGGTAAATCGAGGTGATTAACTCGAAATGTACCGTCTTATTGTTTGTTCAATTTTTTTCGATACAATATGACCTTCTAAGCTTTATCCGAGTAAACATTAACAGTAACTATGTGGTCTAGCTTTTAAATTAATGTTTTTGAATTTTATTTATAACTAATGACGAACACGAGTTGTGCCAACGCTATAATATTAAAGCCATAAGTCAATACAGAAACGCAATCCCCCATTTACACAACCGGGCACACGTCGGGATAGTTTAATGAAAATGATTAGAAAACTACTAGTGCGCCGTATTGGGAAATTCCGAGTTGTCCCACGTTTTTGGAAACCGTCCTAGTTCTGTGTGTTGAAAGATATTTCCACGGACAAAAACCATCCCTGTGTGCGGTGGTCTTTATCGACAAAATCAATCAGCGGCTCTATTGAAATGGCAGCACACCAATCAAATGCCTGAATCGACGACCCGACCCCAAGTAGGGCAAACGTATTAAAGCGTAATCAGCCGCCCGTCGGTTGGCCGTTATCTACATCTCGGCTTTCTCGCTAATGTACCGGGAATAATTTATTATTTATTTTACCAACTTTAGAGATTGCCCCCGTCGCAACCGTCGCCAAAAGCGGAGATAGAATTGTTTTTGTTTTTCCCGCTTCCTTGAAAATCCATTTCGGACGAACCAGTCAAAAAGAAGAAGTCCTATTCCCCTGAGCCCCAGCAAGCCCGTCTCATAAATATATAATAACGCGTCGCACACCGGTAGGTACGCGGGTACGTGCCGGGATTGCAAACAATGTACTCTGGTATTCTGATAATATATATATTTTTTTTTTGTTTTACCCGTATCGTCCGGTCGGAACTCCTTCTCGAAATCTACTGTTTCCTCTGAGGTTTTCATCGTTTTGTCTTGGGTAGTTTTCGACCTTTCTTTACCGTTGCTCTTGTCGCTGCTGCTGCTACTGCTGCTGCTGCTACTGTTTGAGCTTCCTCGGGTTTCCTCGTTATCTGTACAACATTAAAACGCATCGAGCATATTATTATAGACGAATAGCAATAATTGTAAGGATAGAGTGTGGCGTATTACATATATAAGTCGAATGGCGAAGATTGACGGGTACTCGAATGTGCTGCTAACAACGCGTGGCACGACAAACAAATGCGTCGTCAACGGACGGAATGACAACACACAAGTACCTACCGACCTACCTGCCGCCTAAGCTGTGGCCGTGGCGGTTTTTATATTTTCTTTTATTATTATTCTCGACTACTTTTTATATGGCTTTGTTTTTTCTGTTCGTACCTACGTACAATAGAGTAAAGTGAAAATCCATTCCGCCGTTCACACCTTTGTGTTGTACCGCGAGCGATCGAAAAGACTGATTTCGAACACACACGGTCGTGCTGCCAATCGATGCGGCCAACCTTCGCCAGCTTTAACCGTCTCTACCGCCCTTCCTCTTACCTACAACTTCCACCCCTGCTGTTGCTGGCCTCGCCACCACTGCTTAACACTCCCAAACAGCTAAAACTTTTACCCTTTATCGGCCAACCATCTCGCGCTGTCTAAATACCAAGTACGATCCTTCCAAATTACTACCAGTCGGCCATTAGTGCTAAAAGCCATACGGCGGCAAAATACATATATTTTAACGTCTCCAACCTCCTCCCACAAGTTATATGGGGCGTTTACAAGCGACAACGAACGACCTAGGCCCGGTGGTCGAAAACAATAGTTTTAGTTTACCCAACAAAATATGTGATTGTTTTCACGTCAAAATCCACTGGTCAGTTCAGGTATAATTGGTCTAGCTTATAAAATACAGATTTTATGTGTTTTGTCTTTTTCTAATGTAACATGCGAAATCATAAACATACACAGTTAATGAATCTTGGCAGAAAAGTAGTTTAGCAAAGGTCTAGTAGTAGCAGTAGTAGTTGTAGTACAGCGGATATCGGACAATGGAATTGGATTTACGCCAAGAGTGAGAACAATGGAGCCAATTTTTTTTCGTGAGATACATTTAATTAAAGGAAAAGCAAATAAAATGGTTTTTATAGACTTGAAAAAAAAACGTACGTACAAAGAAAATTATTCTGGGCGGTTCCGAGCAAGAACACTTTTTTTTTTTAAATATAATATGTAAGGTTTGTGTGTAGTGAAGCAGACACGTCGTCAAAACATGTAGGAATTCAACGAGGACCTGGTCAAAAGCGCATCCTTGTTTCCCTTGGTAATGAATGGACATACGGGATGATACACACGGTGATGTATGTTGTTTGCATTAAGTATTAACGGACGAGAGTATACTGAAGGGTGGGAAGTTAAATCAAAGCAATGTATGGAGAAAAGCGGCTTAAGAATAACTTAAGACTTAAGGGTTTGTGTTTAGTGGGTTTAGAAAGAGGTTAGGTAAACAATTAAAATGTGCTTGGGGCGTAAAAGGTTTGTAAATGCTTCTGTTTGTTTTTGCTCTTTACTGAAATTTTCAATGGACGAATAAAACCCATACTTGAATCGAGCGAGTCGAAACAATGCTGGTTTGTTAGCCTACAACGGTTTAAAAAAAATCATCACTCCATTGTTGCATTTTGATAAGCCGATTAAATGAGTTTTCATTGTTAAAAATAAATTATCACAAATGGATTGCCGGGAGGATCGATGGGCTGGGACTTGTACAAAAGCTTTCAATTAAAAATTTTGAGTTTAATAATGTCTATAAAAACAATTTGCGTTAAAATTTCTCCCCGTTCGTTTGCCGTTGTCCTATCCGACCCCGCTAAAGAGGTCGGCTCGATTGATTTTAATTATCAGGTTGTGGACCCGCATCGACGGCGCTGGTAAATCATTATAATAGACAGATTAGGGTCCCAATGGAACGGATACGGGGATTATAGCAGTACATACCATCAATACACGTACATCCTGTTCAAATGACATTTTATTAAGTACTTAACCGCCTGATTGTAGCAACGGTCGACGTTCGTGTTGAACGCTTAACAATGCTTGGCGAACCCGTTTGATTTAGATAAATGAACGGTGATTTATCAAAACGTCCCGAGTGCCCAAGCCTAAAGGATAAAAAATTAGTTCCATCGACTGAATTAATATAGAAATAAATGTATTCGAGTGGATGGAAAAGATTTAATACGTTTTCCGAGTGCCGAATGGCTGTTCGGTACGATCCTGATAATTTATAAATGTAGTAAGCCCATTTTGACAAAGTGGTCCCCACCGAAAAAAAAATAGTACATTATAAAGAAAAATAAACCTTCTGGTTTTCGTTGTTAAACGACAATTTCAAATGAAATACAAAATGAAAACAATGATACGCCACGCTTTTTATTAAACACTAAGTGTATAACACAATATGTAAAAAAACGTTGTACAAAAAGTATTAGAGCTAAAATATGAATTAGCTTGAGTGGTCGCCAGTAAATGTACAGTAAGTATAAAAAAAAATTGAAAAATATACTTTTTTCCAAGAGTTCAATAAAGACAATAGCGGTAAAAAATGATAAACTAAAAAACCTGTTATATTATATAATAAAATACAGCACTTGCGTGTGTGGAGTATTTTGCGGGCGTTGCATTCAATTTTACTCTGATCATTTTGCCTAGTATTCATAATATCTTAATCCATTAGGGTTGCCTTTGGATAGGCTGTTTTGCTTTCATGTGCACTTGGTACGTTTGAGGAGGCGTACGCTGTTCGAATAAAAGGGGTTTTTTTCAGCTTCCACGAGCAAAGGTAAAGTAAAAGTATTGATTGTAAAAAAAAAAAATTTGTCATCTAAAATAACTCCAAAAACCACCGGGTCAAAAGTTCAATTTTAAATGGGGAAAGCCCGAAAACTATACCACCGATGCTTTTAATTACCTTTTACTTGCCGTGACCTTCGCGAACAATCGGTCTTATTAAAAGTTTTAATGGGACATAAATTAGAAACGCCCCCGCGTCTAACAATATAGTCTTTGTAGGAGGCGCCTTCTATTCTATATATCATAATATAGGTAGGTATGGATCTTCTATCTGTTAAGAAGCCATATAATTTGTAAAGGAGACTTTCACATAGGTATAGAAATGTAGAGGACATAAAAGAACAAAGGAGGAGGAAACCGATCTCGAGACGTTGGAAATTAGAGCGGAGCCGAGGATAAGTCTTGGTAACCGATTTTCAGACTACATCAGCTGTATTGGATTATTTGTTTGTTTTTCTACATAACATTGTGCTGTTGTGGTGTGTTTGTCGTACATACACACAGTATGGGTAATCCGAGAAAACATAGCAAACGTAACCGATAGCATATTTTACACCTATATCAAAGTTGAAAAATGTGGGCTGACTTTTGTGTAGGTAATATTATTATTTCAACGATCGGCAGCGTTTTACGGGCCAAAAACCTATTTGGACAAGTGCGCCGTCGGCACCACCGGCGTTAAGTATATAAGTACAATAATAATAATAATATGTAACTTCTATGAATCATGTGTATGTATATATATATATATATATATATACATAATACTAATGCGGGCAAATACCGTTCGAATATCGTGTGTACACTATTTACCAGTGATTCATAATAAATGTAATAAAGTATTATAAATTCTATTAAGTCAAGTAGGTGTAGTATTTCGTCGGCCAATCGATAAAATATTATAATTTTACGAAAACGTTCTTAATATTACGAATACATCGAATTCGGGAAATTCCCATTCAGAAGCCACTCGAACCGTCGGTGCAGCGGAGGGCAGGGCAGGGGAGAGGGATTGGGATTTTCCCAAATCGTGGCTTTTTTCGAACGCTGGAACGGACACGGCCGACGTTGTTGGCGTGGTAAGTGGTTAGCGGTTAATGTGTGTGTGTGTGGTAGCGGGGGGAAGGTTGTGAGAGGGGTGGCGGTAACGCGAGGGCAGGGCCGGGCAGGCGGAGGTGAATCGCGCGAGAGACGACAGGGGTAGTCGGCAGGTGTGTGTGTGTGTGTGTGCGGTGCAATACAAAACATACATATACATAAATACGGCGGTGTACGTTATGTATATATATATATATATATATACATACATACATACACTATCGGCCGTAAGGGTAGGAAAAGGGGGGCGCGGGTGACTGCATTGATCCGGACCAGGTTTACAACGGCATGGACGGGGGGGCGGGTAGCGCTCGCGACGAGGGTTGTGCGGGGGGGGATGACGGTCATTGGAGGTCAGCAGGTCACCGCAGCCGTCTTTGACCAAACCAAGGCCGTAACCTTTTGTGCGCTACTCGGACCGACCGCGGTGGTAGCGGATTTCCCGTCGTTAAGCCCTTATAACGAGACGTATCGGATTACCTCTAATTAATTATTACGGTCTCGGGTACCGCCCGGTAACCCGGAGCAGTTATTGAATCTTTGGAAATTTAGAAAAAAAAAAGTTTGTACGCTTTTTGATAATATCTAAAAAATCTAGTCGGCAAGTTTACCGGAATAAAAATTAAAAAAAAAAAATAATAACTACTTTACCTAACATTTCTTATTGACAAGCTGGAATTTTTTTTCAATGTTTTTAATTAGTTAATAGAATTGTTGAATACTTACCGCCGGTTTTCGACGGGAGACTCGACTGGCGTTCTGGCAACCACTAGACTATTACAGTAGTACGTGCGATGCTTGTAGAACAGTGTAGGGCGACGGTGGCGGCAGGTGTTTTTTTCTGTTAATACGGTTATTGGTATTTATTATTATTTTTTTTTTATTGCAGATGCAGCAGCTGCTGGTGTGCTAGATAATATACGACGGTGTTTACGGTGTAGGTTTTTCGGTGTACTTTTTGATTGTGTGTAATCGGCGGGCGCGTTCGGAGTGTACAAAATTGATATAATATATATATTTTTTTATTATTTTTTTTTTTTTTACTTCTTTCGGCGAATTAAAAATATTATGTCGGTATTGTACCTGCACCTGCCTCGGCGACCAACGGCGACCGCGTAATCGGTTAACGGTTATCTCGGTCGGTCTA